GTGGTATATCAATAGGGCTGACCGCGAGTTTCAATTTATCACAAAAGCCTTTTGTTATTAAGTTAACCTGTGATCCCGCGTCTAGCAGAGCACGACATTGATGTTCGTCGCCCGTATCATCGATAACATACACTATCACAGTCGACAAGACCGTGCATTCGTTGTTGATTGTATTCCAGATGCATGCTTGTGCTATATGGGGCGATTGTGGCTTAGGAGATACCACTCTCTCTCTCTTTTCGCGATGCAATACGATATGATGTTTCTTCCCACACTTTTTGCAATTATTACTCGTGCATTCCATTACATTATGTCCCGAATAGAAGCAGTTGAAACAGACTCGTAGATTTTTAATTGTTTCGTGTCTTTCTGAAAACGGCATGGCCAATAGTTGAGGACATGTCTGCAACGCGTGTCTGCCGTGACACAGCCAACATGTATGATTACAGCCAAGAAATGATGTTTCATATCCTACTATTATACTACTGTTTGTGGCGCGCGAATGATTACTACTGTTTGAGATATGCGAATGTTCACTACTGTCTGAATGTTCACCATAGTCTCTGTTTGAGATATGCGAATGTTCACTACTGTCTGAATGTTCACCACCGTGCGAGGCGTGTGGATGTTCACCACCGTGCGAGGCGTATGGATGTTCACCACCGTGCGAGGCGTGTGGATGTTCACCACCGTGCGAGGCGTGCGAATGTTCCTGTTCTTCAATCCTGATCGTGGAGCTCGCGGTTGATTTAAATAGTTTCTCTAGATATTCTACATATTCAGCCCGTTCTTCTATTAATTCAATAAGGGTTTCGTAGGTATCCTCGCTCGCTAATTTCTGTATGAGCCAGTTTTCCCACTCCATCATCCGATACCATTTTTTCGGAATATCGTCAACGAACGCGGGCTGAATTACAGGAAGATGCGATGTAGTATGTGAACTAGACGTCCCCGGTATTGGATCACTCGCTAACGCTTGCGCAGTGCGAATATCATTTAAATGCTTCTCAGCACTAGATATCACGCCGAAATATATGGCTTCGAATAACTCACGTTCTTCTAAATTGTACATTTGTACATTGGTGCTTACTGCAAGCATTTCAATTTGTGACTGAACGTGATCGAATTGGCTGTACAGACATCTGTTTGCCTTAATGCGTTTCTCGGAAGCTGAAATATCTAAACCGAAATCTGCTGTTTCCACGAATCTTTTAAACATCATTAGCTTCGCTTTAATTGCCGCACGCTCAGCAAGTAAAGGTGCCAATTTTGGCTCCATTCTATGCACGATTCACGCAAATAAAGACAAGTAAATAAACTAACGTGGGGAATGGACGATTGGCTTGGCGATGCTCGACCGTTGTTCGTGGCACTGGATTGATGCTGAATCACTAAGATCGTGCTTCTATCTCGTTTATAGGTATGCGATGGTGAAACCTCTTCCGATCACACAACCGCCGCTCTGGATACTCCTTCAACTGTAGCAACTGGTAGCTGAGAAAATGCTGTTGACGGTTAGCTCTAATGTCTTCTGCGTTCACTGTGTAACTGGCTCAAATCCGACTTGATTGCAATCTAAATCGTTCCAACTTTGATACCGTTTGCAGGCGCGTGTCGACGAAAAAGTTCTAGTGTGATTCTAAACTGTCCGTTCAAGTGCTTCTCACTGTCTTAAATGTCCTCGACGAAAATGAGGAAAATATCCTTAGGCTCAGGCTCCTCCCTTCCATGATCTATTCCAGAGGGGTGGGGGTCAGCGCAACTAACGTACATACGTTATGAAAGACATTTTAAAACCCTTGGAATTTCTACGGTTACCGAATACCGTCAGAGCCGTATTTGCAGGAGGAAAAATCCTTGACCATAAGGGTGTAGTTAATGCTGACGCATGTAAACGAGTGCTCGATGACTGTTCGGTCAAAGGTTGGAGATATATAACACTAATGAACATATCTTAACGGTAACCTTGCCGATTTCTACTTACATACTTCTATTTACATTTTTATTTGCCACAATACTGTCAAGAATTCTTTTTTTCGTATCAAGCGATGAATTGTAACATCTGTCGAAGATGTACTCTGTATATCTCTCTGTATTAGTAACATCTATTAAAACGTAATTTTTACTTCGTAACGTAGACCCAAGGAGAACAATAGGACTAATATTCTGCACCGACGCTTACTCACGCGTAATTCAACGAAAAGTATTTGCTCACATAATCTGCACCACATAAATAAACTCATTATCAAATATTAACTAAGCAGGCCTGATGAGCCATGCTACCGTGCCCACTTTCCAAACATGAATTAATTCCTACACCTAAAGCTGTTCTTTTACGGAAATACTACAAGATAAAAATCGATCGTCGTTAACTGAAACGTAAACGTAATAAATTCGTTATATCTATATCTAATTATGTATAAACGAGATAGACCGTAGAAAGACGAGATTGATCGCAGAAAGACGAGATTGATCGCAGAAAGACGAAATAGCTCACAAAGAAGCTAATTGCAACAGATAATACGAGTATCGCATATGAACGTGACCACAGCTTCAAGAAGAAACCGAGTTTGCTCAAGCCGCGTATCGTGCATTATCGAAACTTGTTTTATTAGTCATACTTGATACACCGATCGGGCCTGGTAAACAACCAACGAAAAGTAACGTGTTTGCCTCTGTCCGCCTCTGAAACCGATCGAGACGTCCAAGCGGACAGTTGGCGAATTACCCCCGGTATTCCACAACGTAAATGCGCTATCAGCGGTCAACCGACGACCATCGATTTTTGAAAATATCTGCGGCACCGGAGATCCGTCACGAATAAGCGGCAGTTGAGTGGATCGAACTGGAAGAAAGGTAAATCAAATCGATGGATCGCTCTGCTACTTTGCTGTTACGTACACACCATAAACTCTGTAACTTGAAAACGTGTATGAGGCCGCAATTTTGTTCATTCTCTTCTGTTGCGCTTATATAAGCTGAAATATAAATTTACCGTATCTTGAATTTTTTGTCGCCAGTGTTAGTTTGCCCGTATAACTTGGATTTAACAAAGTGCAACTTTTCCGAAAGAAACGATCGCTGTCTGAAGGTTGAACTTGTCTTTCTTCGAGCTGCTGCAATTCGCGAAATAATTATACTCGTAAAAATTCTCTTGAAGTCGTTTTTGTTTGTTAAATCTCTCCCACTCAATAAATTCGATAAGACAAAACCGATAGAACATGCGAAGATTTTAGCCTTTCTCTCGAGGCTTGAATTATCAAAGTAGCTGTAATTTGATACTTCAGCTCCTATTATTCATATTATCGCGTGATACATTGAGAGGGTATGGGTGGGATGACTTTGATCATTCGCAACGTTTATTTTATTTCAGTGGACGAAGGCAGCCAATTAGTGTCCTGTGAGGAAGATGAATAAAACGGTGCATTACGCGTTGGTGGCATTTTGGGAGAAATCCGGCTGCAAGATCGTGGCCGATTGTTACCCGGTGAAGCAGGATACAACGTACAGGGCGATCACGCTCAGCACAATCGACGGACTGAAGACGTTGGAGAACGATAAGATCAGTCTCGATCGGGACAAGTAAGTGTGCTAATTCATACAATTCTTTTTTTTTTATTTATTTATTAAAATTACAATTAATTCTCGCGTTGAGAATTTTCAGTAATAATTCATACAATGACACTCATTTTCGTTTTATAGGCGGCGCATCGAAATTGAAAGGCTTTTCGATAATCGAGAAATATTCATCGAACGAATGTTGGAAACTCTAAGTTAGCTGTTCGACGTTTTCAATGATATTCTTTTGATATTTTCATATTAATTAGATTCTTGAGAAGAATCCGTGTAATTTTCTACGATGACACTACGGTTACAAAGAGTATTTGCACATAGTTGCATCTATTTTTGCATATAATCCTCTTGCACGATAATTCATTGATGATAATTGATAATATTTCTGAACTGACAAGTTACGAGTTATACTTCGTAGATAATATTCTTCTTTGCGATATTTTAAACCAATTAAGATAATCAACGGAATTGTAATTTAAATATCAGATCCATTTGTCAAACCTCACCTACTTTCCACTTTTAGAATTTTGCTTTTCGGAATACCTTTTTTAATTTTGTTACCGATATTATCGCGATTGCGCGACAGGATCCTGACAGTGTTTTCAAGTGATTATAAAAGTGTTCGTATAAGTTATAAAGATACTCTTTTTGCTCGTCAAATTGATTCCAAACTGTTGGAAAATAATTCTTGCAAAAATATCTGAACGATTTTTCAAGGATGTTCTTTAGAAATATCATTCTCTTGCAGCTACACGGTGCACGTGCTCATCGGTGAACTACATTACGCCTGCCTGACGTTGAAACCGGATTGTCCTTCGTCAGCAGCCGAGCTGGAATTCTGTTCCCAGGTGTTCCTCGAGAGATTGCGAAGCATTTACAGGGAGCTACCGATTCTGGCTGATCTCACGAGGGACCTAACCAATCTAGCGGTCATCGATCTCTCGAAACCTCTAAAGGAGATAGTCGTACGTTCGACCATTTAACCTACGACCTTGCCGAGTTTAAACGGCGATATTTTTCACCAAGAATTCAAAAACCATTGTCGTTTCAGCACGAGTACAATCAACAAAATGAAATACTACCGAAGCTAGAAGGAGAACTGGCGAAAGTCCGAAAAACATTAATGGATGGCCTACAGAAAATGATTGACAGGGGCCAGAAGCTCGATGAACTCGTTCAAAAGACTCAGACCTTGCAGATTATGGTAAATTATTTACGATTTAACGATTTCACGTTGAATGCCGTAAGAATCGCCAGTGCGATACCGGGTTTGTTCAAGTATTTAATTCTTTCTTTAGAAGAATATATAATAAGAAGAAATATATGTCGGAGATGAAAGGACACCGGAGCCTTCCCTCTGGAACTTCGAGAAAATCCGTAAAATTGTAATTAAAGCTTACAGTTGTAATTAAACAATTTGCCGTCATTCTGCCCAATGGTACTTGTTTGCGATTTGTAATAATAAACTTTTTTTTTTTTATTTATTTGTTGAAATTAGAATCAATTCTCGCGTTGAGAATTTTCAGTAATTTTTCTGGCGTGGCGCAGTGACATGGCTGTTTATTTATAATAAGTATAATTTATAGGTATTATAAGTAAGTGAATATGCTTAATTTGGATAACTAAATGAATCTAGCGTTTAGGTCTAGCAGGTAGTGTAATAATAAACTTGGGCTCAAGGCGACCATCAGCCGCCAAACATAGCCGCGGTCAACGGGACGGCCGCTTCACCTAACAAAGGTATAGAGCGATAATATGACCCTTATTAAAAGAATACCCATAGCGGTACGTGACAGTAAAATATGCCAACGGTTCGTTCGGACAACCTGATGTTGACCGCTATAAAACCTGGACTTTTTCGGTAATTAAGATTCTTCAAACGGACAAGCAGTCTTTGTCACAAATTGACCAATTGACAGCGACATCAATTTCCCTTACTTTCGGAACGAGGGCTATACTCGACGAATCCGATGATCTCGTGTCCGTAAACACACCCCATCATAGTTTTCCTCGGTGGCATTATCGGGACGAAAATTCATCCTTTCTTGCGATTTTATCGACAAAGAGAGTACCGCCTTACGATTTGTGAGTATTGTGTGAGCAAGTATATCTATCCTCCCGTTGACCGTGGATTCGTTATCGAACCTAAGACCAACGTCACTAGTATCGCCAATGCCCAACCACCGCGGTTGATCGTCGAATCGGTAGTATCCATACTCGTATTACCAGGCCGTACCGTCGTTATAACACAGCAATGGTCATTCCAATGAAGATCTAGCAAATGCCCACAACTCTATTCCTGACGCTTCTCTGACATATATAACAACGAAGAGATAATAGAAACAGAATTGTCCTAACGATTTCGTAAAGAAATTATAGTTTTTTCAATTTTGAGGTCAGTTTTATTCAAGACAAATAATCGAAACTCGTTGAAGCGCAGCGTTGCATTATGCGCAACATCGCGAGATTATTAATACCGAAACAGCCAGTTTCCTAATCTGTTTTCAAATGTATTTACAAATGTATATAAATGTATTACAAACGTATTATATGTAATGTCTTGTCAAAGGTATTTAGAAAATGAAACAATCATTTTCGTAAAATTCGTGATACTTCCGATCGTACAGTAACAATTTATTTATAAACATTTAAATGTTTAAACGATTTTATTCTTTATTAAAATACGCATTAGCATATAACGATATATAATTTTTAATTTAGGTGTTATAAACGAAAGATACGAACTTTACCCGGCAGTCAACGTGTTACATAAAAGAACCAGGGATTCGCTATACACGGAAAGCTCAGTTTGTTCAGTAACCCATATTCCGCCATAACAAAGAGACATAATTAGATTGGCGGCATGAAAAATATTCATTGAAACGGCGTCGATCAATAGCCGAACGCATTGCCGACTACGACCCCAGTGTTCGTATCATTTATTTCCCCGAGGGTTGTGCGTGTCGTGATTACGCTCTTTTATTTATACGCGTTGAAACGATACAGTTAATTACTCGAGTATCGAGCGACGATTAACAACGCGCAGACACGTTAAACATGTGCCGCTTCGTTCGTTACTTTTTCACTTTACTAATTGTATTTTATAATTAAAACCCTCTCGCGTATTTTCTTTTATATTTTATTCGTCATACACGTACGCTGTCGAGGAATATTCTTCAAGTTGCATTCTTTTCATTCTATTAATTCTCACTGTGTGATTTTATAGGCTCGAAAGGACTTTCACGTGTTGACAAGAACTTCCAGAAGAAAGAAGGGCATCGTTATGACAGCGCTTGCGACCACGTTGATATTTTTTGTCACATCTCTCCTTGTGTTCCTATTGTATTCTCTGATCAGCCTTGCTCATTAACTTTGAAATTGTTCCTAAGAAACATCGCACCGATGTGTGAAATGTACTTACGAATAAACAATGTATTAGTCACTTCTGACCTTGTCAAATATATCTTTTCGTGAATCAACAACCCTTTAGCTTTACAAACGATTCGTTACAATCTGTGGACTGCATCAATGACTCATTGTTTCTTTTTTCTTTTTATGTTGACACAGATACGCGTGCACGAAAAATCTTCGGTCCCACGCATTTTCATTTGATTTGAATCTGAATAATAGAAAACCGCATTCGAGCCTGTCGAAAGCTACACCCATCGGCTCTGTCTTTTGCAGATTTTCCAATTTCATTACCTAGGTACACGATCGATGCACGGTTGTAAGAAGCGAAGGATTTTATGATACTTCCATAAGTTCGTTTATCCCGAAAAAAATGATATTGATATTTGTCATTAGGTGGTATTGACAAAATCCGCAATTACTTAATTGCCAAGCTAATATAAACAGTTAATAGGATAGCGATGTAGATTTTGAAAAATAATAAACCTAACGTCATCACTTTTATTTGTCTTTCTATTTTGAAGTTGATCGGCATAGCTTGTGAGCAACTCGTTTATCTGAATCCAGTTGAAGACAAACACTTGGTGTAATAAAAGTTCACTGATTCTCCCTTCTACCTATGTTCGCATAATAAAAATTCATGTTCAGATAAGTGGACTCGATAAACAGAAATTCTTGAAATCCACCGATTCACCGACTACTTCGCGCAACGTACATTCGACGATCGATGGTTTGAAGCATGTAGCGAAGTTCGCACCGACAATTTACCGAATCATTTACGAATTCCCATTAATAAAAACATACTTACGCGTCGAAATAATCCTTCTCGATGGCATCCGTGGCGGAACTTACGGTGGATCCCATCGAGTTCGAAAAGGAAGTCAAGCGCAGAGACACACTCGCGGAAGCGACCAGACATTTGTATTTCATCGCTGCACGCAGGATACAGGTTAATGACTCTTGTTCGAAGATAATTTCTGTGAGCTTCCGTAAAAAAGGTTTTCAGGTTTTTTTACGATCTCTCGACGAAGATTTTGTGGTACGCGCGGAAAGATAACCTCAGGCTCGATAACCACAACTTGTACGCGAGTTATCGCTCTTATCCAATCTGGCTGCGAGTAGCGCTAATAATAAAGCCTCGTGTGTCGTAATTGTAACTGTGCGTTAAGATATCGATTGCTTAAGGTCAAGATCACGACATATCCATCCAACAAGTCATCAACGAGTTCTTCTTTTACTTTTTTCGTTATTTCAACTAACGATATTGACAATGATCTGAGATTCGTATCTGGCCACGCTTGCGTAGTTTAACATTGTTAGCAAAATTTTCCAAATTATTAATCGTCAACGTCAATAAACTGCCTTTTATAATATCGATAAATTCGATAATGAAACAAAGAAAATTTGACAAGTGGATTTTACAAATTATATCAATTCTGATGGAACATTCTGAAGCTGCAAAAGAGAAACTTATTGTCCATAACACGAGACTTTCGTCGATTTACCGATATTATTACTTGGTAAATTATCGTGCGAGATTCGTGAATAATTCTCGTATTAATGTCGATAGTCATGAAAAATAGAGAAGAAGCAATGGTACAAGTATATATGAATTCGAGCGAAAATTATAACGATGCTGAAGTACAGATTTTTCTCTTTAAATACACACTATTCGTTCTCCGTTCTTCATTCCGAAAAATTCGATTAGGATACCGTTCTTTCGACGTTACAACGTTTGAATTGGATTTCGACTCGGCAGTGCAGGCCTGGATCCGCGGCATCCTCAGCCGAAAACATTTCCGATTGCTGCACCGGAGCGCAGTCAGCATTCAACGTTATTGGCGTGGTTATCGTACCAGGATCATGGTCGATCGATATCTGGTGCATCGTGTCCATCAAATGTGGCAGGATTACTATAACGAGATGGCTACGAGGATCCAAGCGTTCTGGCGTGGTTATTGGATCAGGAAAACCGTCCTTGACATAGAGAAAATGCGACGATGGTTGAACGAAGTCTATACGAAGAACGAGGAAACCGTGAAGAACATGAAGAGGTTTGGTATCTTTCAATTTGTTTAAAATCCTATCACATTCCTATGTACTCTGGAATTTCTTATAGTAATATACAGGGTGGTTGGTAACTGGTGGTACAAGCGGAAAGGGGGTGATTCTACGCGAAAAAAGAAGTCGAAAATATAGAATAACAATTTTTTTTTAATTTTTCCATCGAGACAACGATCTACAGTGAGATCGTACCGTGCGAAAATTCAAAGTCGATTTTCTCGAAAACAAAGCCTCAAACGAAAAAATTTTTTCTATATTTTTGACTTCTTTTTTCACGTAGAATCACCCCTGTACGTACCAACCACCCTGTATATTGTGTTGGTAACTAAGTGGTATCATTAGGCGGCAATGACAAAATCCGCAATCACTTAGTTGCCAACCCAATAATCTCATTCGACTCATTTTATATGAAATAATCGAAATGCGATAGTCTCGCGAGAAATAGGCAACGTTGTTTGACAGATGATGCACGTGTATTTCTTTTCTCGTGCGATAGGTTCAAACAGGAAGAGATAGAATGCGTGCAGACGATAATCGAACGCGAGTCCATGCAGTGGATACTGTTCATCCTCTTCAAGGTGAATTACAAGAAAAACACATTGTCTCGTTATCGTCGTTGTCTCGTTTTCCTCGCTACAGTTACATCATTTGCTGAGAACGAAGCAACGGCCAGGTGTGTTCACCAGAATCGACAGCACGCGGTTCACTTTGATCGAGGAGATGCTGAGATGCTTGGAATATAAACGCTACATGCGCGATAAGAAGACGAAGCTAAAGAGGAAATGTGAGGATTGTCAAATTGATAGGAAACCAACGTTGATCTTACGTGGAACGTACTATGAAAGATGCGAGAAAGAGATTCACGAAATACGGAAAAATCTGGAAGCGGGAGCCGTGCCAATATATAGAAGTAAGAGCTTGACGAATTCTAGATGGAAAATTAAGTTTTGATGATTACTCCGATTAAATGCGAATCAAACGAAATTGAAATTGTAAATTTAGGTGAACCATACGAGGAGCATGAGAAGAGCATTCGCAAACTAAACCAGATGCGCTTAGCAAGTTCCATAGACGAAGCGTACGAAACAGGTTCCCGACGAAAAATCGAAATGAAGAATGACAAACAACGGAAGGTGTGCTCTTTGAGAAGAGAATTCGAACAGCAAGCTTGTTGCATCAAAGAAGCCGATCTCTGCGAGAAGATTAAGAAAATGGATTGTCATCTAAACCAACTCCGCTTGAAATGCCCTATTCACGATCCTCCGTGTCAAAAATGAAATAATCTCAACGATTACAATTACGACACGTATCTTAGAGAAAAGCATGTACGATAAATCATAGAGACAAATGGAAAGTATCTCGAAGAAATAATATATATAGCGTATATCGAGAAATTTGTGATTGTTGATTTTTACTAATTTTGTGTATCGATTTGATATATCTGTCGGAGATGAAAGAACACCGGAGCCTCTGGAATTTTGAATAATCCCGCAACATTGTAATCCAGAGTCTACTATAGCTGTAATTAAACAATTGTAGTTATTCAATCCAATTGTAATTGTTCGAGATTAGTGATAGTGAGCTTTGGCTCGAGGCGACAGTCTGTCGCCCAACGTAGCCGCGGTCAAGGGATGAATACTTTCTCTAGCAGAGGCATGGAGTAATTTTATAACTCTCCTTAAGAAGGAAATAGTTGTAACACTCTACAGTAAACGTTCGAACGGTCTCTGTCCCATACCTCACCACACACAGACCCTATTCTTCGAGTAAGATGATTGTCAGATGCCGATGCGTCTGCGCAGTACATGTTCAGCCCGAGGGCCCGTTATAAATCTTAAGATTTAGCTGACTAAAGTCCTTCAAACAGTCTTTGCCCCAACTACGGGAAAATAGGGGAAACCTATTTTTCAACGAGCAGCGCCTCCCACTAGCAACTTTTCCTCGAGGGCGGCTAGCATCTTTTTCTAACCACCGATATGGAGATTGATCAAATTATGGTGGTACAAGCGGAAAGGGGGTGATTCTACGCGAAAAAAGAAGTCGAAAATATAGAATAACAATTTTTTTTTAATTTTTCCATCGAGACAACGATCTACAGTGAGATCGTACCGTGCGAAAATTCAAAGTCGATTTTCTCGAAAACAAAGCCTCAAACGAAAAAATTTTTTCTATATTTTTGACTTCTTTTTTCACGTAGAATCACCCCTGTACGTACCAACCACCCTGTATATTGTGTTGGTAACTAAGTGGTATCATTAGGCGGCAATGACAAAATCCGCAATCACTTAGTTGCCAACCCAATAATCTCATTCGACTCATTTTATATGAAATAATCGAAATGCGATAGTCTCGCGAGAAATAGGCAACGTTGTTTGACAGATGATGCACGTGTATTTCTTTTCTCGTGCGATAGGTTCAAACAGGAAGAGATAGAATGCGTGCAGACGATAATCGAACGCGAGTCCATGCAGTGGATACTGTTCATCCTCTTCAAGGTGAATTACAAGAAAAACACATTGTCTCGTTATCGTCGTTGTCTCGTTTTCCTCGCTACAGTTACATCATTTGCTGAGAACGAAGCAACGGCCAGGTGTGTTCACCAGAATCGACAGCACGCGGTTCACTTTGATCGAGGAGATGCTGAGATGCTTGGAATATAAACGCTACATGCGCGATAAGAAGACGAAGCTAAAGAGGAAATGTGAGGATTGTCAAATTGATAGGAAACCAACGTTGATCTTACGTGGAACGTACTATGAAAGATGCGAGAAAGAGATTCACGAAATACGGAAAAATCTGGAAGCGGGAGCCGTGCCAATATATAGAAGTAAGAGCTTGACGAATTCTAGATGGAAAATTAAGTTTTGATGATTACTCCGATTAAATGCGAATCAAACGAAATTGAAATTGTAAATTTAGGTGAACCATACGAGGAGCATGAGAAGAGCATTCGCAAACTAAACCAGATGCGCTTAGCAAGTTCCATAGACGAAGCGTACGAAACAGGTTCCCGACGAAAAATCGAAATGAAGAATGACAAACAACGGAAGGTGTGCTCTTTGAGAAGAGAATTCGAACAGCAAGCTTGTTGCATCAAAGAAGCCGATCTCTGCGAGAAGATTAAGAAAATGGATTGTCATCTAAACCAACTCCGCTTGAAATGCCCTATTCACGATCCTCCGTGTCAAAAATGAAATAATCTCAACGATTACAATTACGACACGTATCTTAGAGAAAAGCATGTACGATAAATCATAGAGACAAATGGAAAGTATCTCGAAGAAATAATATATATAGCGTATATCGAGAAATTTGTGATTGTTGATTTTTACTAATTTTGTGTATCGATTTGATATATCTGTCGGAGATGAAAGAACACCGGAGCCTCTGGAATTTTGAATAATCCCGCAACATTGTAATCCAGAGTCTACTATAGCTGTAATTTAAACAATTGTAGTTATTCAATCCA